GGAGGTGAGGAGGGGGCAGGGCCTGGCCCCAGCTGGGTGCGGGGCTACAGGGCCATGCTCTGGCTGGCAAAAGAGTCCGGGGCCGTGTGGAGGGGGTGGGGCTGTGGCCCGGGACAGGGGGAGGGGCTCTGGGGCCCTGTGTGGAGGGGGTGGGGCTGTGCCCCAGGGGGCTCTGGGTCCCATGTGGAAGGGATGGCAGCTCTTGGGCTACCCGCTGTCTCCTTTCCACCTCGCTGTGCCCTGAGTGACCCCTGCCCCATGGGGCCATGCCGGGCGGGGCCTGTGGGGCTGGGAGCTGACAGGCTGTGGGTCTGTGCCCCACAGAACGAGTGCCAGCACTACCATGCCAAGGCCAAGAAACACACCAAGAGAGTCAGGAAGCACCATCGGAAGCGCTCGCAGTCGGTGAGACCTGGGGCCAGGACGGGGGGGGCCGGGCAGCTGGAAGCAGGGCAAGGCCTGGGGTCACCCAGAGCCAGCCCTGAGGGAGAGGGAGGGGTGCCAGGGCTGCAGCCCAGATATCCCCAGGGAGGAGCTGGGCCTGGAGCCCTGAGAGGTGTGGATGCCCATTGGTGCTGGTGGATGGGTGGGGGAGAGCAGGGGATTTAGGGCCTGGGGGGCCCTGGGGCCCTGCTCAGAGGGGTTGGTTGGGGTGAGGGGGGCCAGCCTGGGTCATGTTAACCCCCCTCCCCTCCCCTCCCCACCAGGGCTCAGAGTCGGAGCTGGAGCCCCATCAGCAGCGGGCCCAGAAGAGGAAGAAGCGGAATCACTCGGAGTCCGGCTCGGAGCTCTCCTCCTCCCCCGACTCAGGTGGGAGCTGGGGCTGCCCTGGGCAGGGGGAGGGACTGGGCCCGTGCCCTGCCCCGTGGCACCCGGGCACGGCTGGGCCCCGCGCTCTGGTGCCCCTTGGCCGCGCCTGCCTGACGCCCCCTCTGCCCACAGATCTCAGCTCCCGCAAGTCCAGAAAGCAGAAGAAGAAAAGCAAGAAGAAGAGGCACAAATCGGTGAGAGCAGCGCGGGCGGGGAGGGCGCTGGTGGAATCCCCCTGCCCCCCACGGCCCAGCCAGTCTCTGCTTCGCCCCCCACCCTGAGCCCCTGCCCTGTGTTACAGAACAGCCCCCAGAGCGAGAGCGAGCGAGGGAAGGAGAAAGGCGGGAAGGGGAAGGAGCCGGAGGGGCAACGGCGCTCCCCCCAGCGCAGCTTCAAGAGGGAGAAGGTAAGTGGGGGGCAGGGGAGGTGGAAGTGCTGGCTTTGGGGGGCAGGGGACAGCATCAGATGACGGGTCGGGGTAAGAGGGTCTAGAGGCAGATGGGGGCCAGGATGGCGGCTGCAGGGCAGGTAGGGGTCAGGGACGCCGGCTGTGGGGCAGGCAGGGGGGCAGGATGCCGGCTGTGGGGCAGGTAGGGGGCAGGGACACCAGCTGTGGGGCAGGTTGTGGGGCAGGCAGGGGGCAGGGACGCCAGCTGTGGGGCAGGTAGGGGGCAGGATGCTGGCTGTTGCGCAGGTTGCGGGGCAGGTAGGGGGAAGGGACGCCGGCTGTGGGGCAGGCAGGGACGGGACGCCGGCTGTGGGGCAGGTTGTGGGGCAGGCAGGGACGGGACGCCGGCTGTGGGGCAGGCAGGGGGGCAGGGACGCTGGCTGTGGGGCAGGTTGTGGGGCAGGCAGGGACGGGACGCCGGCTGCGGGGCAGGGACGCCGGCTGTGGGGCAGGTTGTGGGGCAGGCAGGGACGGGACGCCGGCTGTGGGGCAGGCAGGGGGGCAGGGACGCCAGCTGCGGGGCAGGCAGGGGGGGCAGGGACGCCGGCTGCGGGGCAGGCAGGCTGCCCCCTGATCTCTCCCCGCCCCCACGCAGAGCGTCTGGGACACGTCGGACAGCGAGCCGAGCGAGGGCGAGCTGGAGAAGCGGCGTCGGACGCTGCTGCAGCAGCTGGACAACGATCCGTAGCCAGGTCTGCGGGACTTGCTGAGCTGGGGCCCCTGGGGCCCCCGCCGCCCCCTGCCCAGCCTGGGCCGAGGCTCTGGACAGCTTGGGGCGGGCGAGGGGCTGCCGCTCTTCCCCAGGACTGGGGGCGTCTGAGAGAGCGGGGGGGAGGCCCCCGCTGCGCCCAGGACTCCTTCCCCCCGTCCCTGTGGATCCCCCCGCGCCCGAGGACCTGGCGCTGCCGTGACCCCCTCCGCTTGGCCAGCCCCATGGCGCTCAGAGGACCGGCCCCGGGACAGCTGCGCTTCGGAGGGCGGGGCCCTGGGCTGCAGAGGGTGAAGGCGGCTCGGAGCTGGCTCTCGCGCCTCGGCCGGGGTTCCATGGATGCCCCTGGCGCCAAGGATGGTGGGCGCCCGGGACTCCCACGGGGGCGCGTGCTGCTGTGTGGCCGGGACCCCCGGGCCGGCAGCCGGGTTCAGTGGTGTTGCTGGGGGGCATAGCCCCTTTGGGCCGCTTGTACTCTGGGAATTAAAGGGTTTTTTAAATAATATTTATAAACGTGGCCTGGCCGCGGCCGTCTCCTGCTGCATTGCGCTTGGCCAGCCCGGCGTGGCCCAGCCCCTGAGGAGCTGACGGGGGTGGGTTCTGTCATGTGCCGGGGAACGGGCTGCAGCTCCCTGCCCCCCTGCCCCACCTAGTGCCCCAGGGCCTCATCACAAGGTGCTGCACCCCCTCTGCTCTGTCAGCCCCTGGCACCAGCTTGCCCCATTGCAGAGCTCCCTGGGGTTGGGGGTTGACACGAAGCCTCCCGCAGCGGAGAGCAGCTGGCAGGCTCAGCCTGTCGGTGCTGGGGTGGGCATGCAGGTGCCCACAGGATCGCTGTGAGCCCAGAGCTGTAGGGGCTGCCTGCTGGGCCCCAGGCCATCGGGAGCCCAAGGAGCTGGGAAATGAGGCCCACGCTGGGAGATCAAACCTCCTTGCAGGGAGCAGACACCCAAGAGGAGGCAGGACGCAGGCTCCAGTGGGCTCCAGCCCTGGGGCTTGTGCCAGCCCCCCGTGGGGCCCACACCGAGCACAGAGGAGGGCACTTGGTACAGAAAACCCCAAACACGCCCTTTCTCTTGCCCCAAACAGGGAGGGCAGCTGGGCCACAGCAGCAATGGATGCCCGCCCAGCTAGCCTTGGCTGCCCCTGCGTGTGCACAAGGGCTTGGCTCATGGGGTGAGTCACGGCTCGGCCTTGGGCCCCACCTGTGCACTGGGGGGACCAGCCTGCCCTGCCTCCCTCATGGCTGGTTTCGCCCATGAGTGTGGGGGAGCCGGGCCAGTCCTGGCGGCTGCAGCACCTGGCCTCCCAGCTGCACCCCCACACGGCGCGAGGGGAGGGTGGGGGTGCTGGGGAAGCTTCCCCAGCATCAATGCAGGCTGAGCGCATCTAGGTATAACCCGCATGGGCCCCAAGCCTGGGGCCAGGCTCAGCCCTGGTTGGCCAGGCCGGGCGGATCCGTGGTCTCTCCAGGCGTTAGGAATGGGGTACAGCAGGCTGCATAAACAGTCAGTATATTTCACATGTACAAAAAGTCACAGCTAGCTACAGAGCAACAACAGCGACGCTGTAAACAATCGGGCAGCTACGTGGGTGCCGTGGGGCGGGCAGCGGCCCCGCTGCAGCCACCGCCTGGGCCTTGGTCCCTTTCGTTCCAATAGTGTTCATGCAGCCCCAGGCGTCGGGGCAGGAGCTGAATGCCCAGGGAGGGCGGGGGGTAAAGTGCTGGTCTGCTCTGAAAAATAACCGGGCCCAGGGTGGGAAGGGGCTGATTCTCCGGGCAGCTCCCGCAGGGGCTTCGGGACGGCCTCCCATACCCCTGGCGGCAGAGGAGGGCTAACACGCGGATTGGGTGCAATTCCAGGCCGGGCACAGCTGTGACAGTGGGGGGAGCGTCTTTGGTTTAGTGGCTGCCGCAGCACGTGCTCCAAGGCCCACTACCATTGTTGCCAGCGTGTTTACACCCCCCCGCCCAAGCTGGAGCTGAACCTGGTTTGCCACTGCAGGGACATGTTCCCCTCCCAAAATCACTGACACCCCGAATGCTCAACTGATAGTGTTTGGTCAAGTGGCTGGACCGGGGCCCACTGGGGCATTTCACTGACGTGACCCACCAAAGTGCAAGGGGCCCTGCAGCCAGCCCTCCCCCCTGCACTGGCTGTGGGCCGGGGTGTGGCAGTTCCCCCCACGAGACTCTCCTGGGGGTGGGGGGGGTCAGCATTTGCCCAGGCGCAGCAGACCCCAGTGAGCTGGAGCGAAGGCCATGTGCAGGGCACGTCAGGGCCCACTGCGCTTAGTATTTGGTCTGGAGAACACCACTGTTCGTCAGGGCAGGCCCTGGCTGAGAGTGGGAGCAGGTCACGCCAGGCCCCATCCCACCTTTAGGACAGGCCTTGGGGCGTGGCAAGGAGGAGGCATCACGGCCGTCACCAGGGAGGCCGGCTTGGGGGAACCTCTGAGGCCACTGGAGGCTCAGGCCCTAGCTTGGATGGTGTTACGCCGGCAGTGGGGGTGAGGCTCATTCAGGCCCCAATTGCAGTGGAAGGTGGTACCCAACTCCCTGCAGGATCCTGGCCTCCACCCCAGCTGGGACACGTCTGCCCTTGGAGGACACGGCCAGCCGGGTTGGCCGGCTTTTGGGTTTAGGAAAGGCCCTGTGTCGCATTGGTTCCTGGCCCCGGACACAGCACATGGCCCGTGTCAGCCGTACCCAGCCCTGGTGCCCTCCATGTGTTGCACAGGGCCAGCGATGGGAAATTGCCCCAGGGGAAGTGCAAGGGGCCCCGAGCCTGGTTCTGGTGTAGCCCCAGGTGAGGCCGGCCTTGGCTTTCCAGAGGGCGTTGTTCCTGGAGAAGGCCGGGGCAGCCATGCGGGGCCAGCTGCCGCCGACGCTGCCATGGGCTGGAGCGTTTCCGAGCGGCTGGGAACAAGGCAGGGAGGGGGCTGGCTGGTACCTGGGCCACAGCCTCCCTGCAGCGGCTGCGCTGGCTCGAGACCCGGTGGGGCTCGGTCTAGCCCTGCCCCCCCCCAGACTCGGGCCACAGGGGGGCCCACACCCAGGGTCACGACCGCTGGAACCCGAGCGCCAGGGGTTGCTGCATCTGCCAGTGTCCTTCCAACGGTGCCGGTGCGGACGCCGGCCCCCACCGTGCCGAAGTGGAGCTTCCTTGCCCTCGCTAATACTGTCGTTCTAAGGCACTTCCCAAGGCACAGAGCCAGCCTCGCCCAAGGTCCCTTTGGTCCTTCAGTGCGGAGTCGGGGCAGGGGGCGGGAGGGGCAGGACAGAGGCCCCTGGGGTCCAGGCTCCGGCTGGCGGCGTTGGCCCGTCTGAGCGGCTGGGAGTGAAGGTCTGGGCGGGGGAGAGAGCGGGCGTTAGGAGGGGGGAGTAGGGGCCATGGGCAGGCCAGGGCACCCATGCAGAAGCTGCTCCTGCGAGGCGCCCACCTCTGGGGAGTGACACTGCAGCCACCCACCCCTTCCAGCCTGCAGCAGCGGCCCCTTGGGGCATGTTTGCTCCTGGCTGGTGAGACCAGTGGCCCCCCAGCAGAGGCCCCCACACCTGCTTTGCGTGCCTGGGGAAAACCAGCCCCCTGGCGCCCCTGGCTCATGCGCAGAGCCCCGGCTGGGCAGCTGCAAGCAGCACCCTGGGGTGGGGCACCGAGCCAGGCCGCAGCCAGGGACCTTCGCCCGGCAGCCCTGGCCAAGCGGGGGGGGGGGGGAGGAGAGTCCCTTACCCTCTGCCCTGGCTGGGGCGCTAGAGGCAGATCGTTCTTGCTGCTATGGGGGGGGGGGGGGGCAGAAACAAGGGGGCGTCAGAGCCAAGCCACTGGCAGGGTGGAGTCGTCCCCCCCCCCGCCTCCGGCACGGGCAGGACCATGCCTTGTTCCAGAGCAGGGATGCCCCGAAGGCCAGGGGAGGGAGAGGCCGTTTCCTGGGGGGCTGGCTTAGGGGTTTGGGCTCCTTGCTTTGGCATGTTAAGGGCTGCAATCCCGTTTCACCCCCAACACAGAGCACGACTCCACCCCCGTCCCCGGAATGGCCTCGCCCAGGCTGCCAGGTGCTGAGACTCGGCAAACTCACTCCCCATGGAGGCAGTGCCAGGTGGGAGCAGACACTGAGCTGGATTCTGCAGCCCATCCCCCCGCCCCCAAACCCCGCCAGACCCCACAGCCAGCGTTGGTATCCGCACCGTCCTCCTGGAGCACAGCCGGTCCCCACGGCGCCGCCGACCCTGCTCCATGCACTGGGGCAACAAGCTGGCGCCTCACCGACCAGCAGAGACCGCTGCCTCGACCCCGCGCACCCCCCATGCAGGCACCAGGCCCCCTTGGGGGCGGATTTAGTAAACTATTCTACTGCGTTAGCATGGAGGGCACATGCTCTGGGAGGGGACGGCATGCAGTGCCAGGGTGGGTGCCCCTGAGCAGGGGGTGTGGTGGGCGAGGGGGGAGGATGCAGGATGGGGTGCTCTGGCCGGGGTGTGGAGGTCCATGCAGCGCCAGGGTGGGTGCCCCTCGGGGGGGTGGCGGGCGAGGGGGGGATGTAGGATGGGGTGCTCTGGCCGGGGCCAGGACGTGGAGGTCCATGCAGCGCCAGGGTGGGTGCCCGTGAGCACAGGGGCATGGCAGTGGGAAGGGGACAGTGCATGGGGGACGGGGCGCTCCGTCCAGGGGCATGCACGGGGGGCATGGGGGCGATACCTTCGCAGGGCATTACAGCGCCCGGGGCTAACAGTTAGACTCATCGTGGTGGGACGGGTCGCAGAAGAACCTAGAGCCCCGTTTGGCGGATCGGGCCGTGAAGGGGACGCTCTTCAGCACTGCAGACGTTTGACAGAGACACGCGTCAAAGCCCGCACGGCCGCACCCCACCCGCCCCCACGACCCCAGGGAGCTGCCAGCCGGGGCCGAGGCTCAGCAAGCCCCTGGCAGGGCCACCCTGGCTGGCGTCGAGCCGAGACGGCTTCTGCCCCAAGCCGGCTTCCAGCCAACCAGACAGATGCGGCGCCGGGAGGGGCACGACCCGGACCCAGGCGTCCTGAGTCCGGGCCCAGCGCCCGTCCACTCGGCCACGCTGCCTCGGGGGCTCCCCCAGCCCCGGGGGGGGAGGAGCGGGGGGGCGGGCCCCTACCCGTGATGATGTCCTCGATGGTCCCGTCCTTGCCCTCGTAGACGGGCCGGTGCTCCTTGGCCTGCCGCCGGCGCAACTCCGCGATCAGCTCCTGCTCCTGCCACTTGTTCCGCTGCAACGGGCACTGGGTGGGGGCAGGGCTGGGGAGACCCCCCCTGCCCCCCCGGGCAGACCCCGCCCGGCCCGTACTCCCCCCACCGCTCCCCCCCGCCCGGCCTGTACCCACCCCCAGGGCAGATCCCGCCTGGCTTGTACCCCCTGCCTCCGGGGGCAGAGCCCACCTGTAATCCCCCCACTGCTTCAGGCAGATCCCCCCCCATAACCTCCTCAGGCAGGGCAGATCCTGCCCTGCCCAACCCCCCACCCTTCCAGGTATGCAGGGTGGGAGCAGTGCTGAGAAGGACAGAGCAGCGTCACCCGGGGGTGCACGTGTCCCGTCCTGGCATCCCCCCCATGGGAGAGAGCACGATTCACGGATTTCCCCCCACCCCCCCGCAGCTGTGACATCCCTTCCTGGGAGCGGCCTTTGGCTTTGTCCCTATGCCGCCGGGCTCGGCAACAGGTGAAATGCCGTAGGGATTGGGGCGGGGGGGGGGGGGGAGCTCCGGGCCGCCCCTGCCGTACCAGCACCCCCCTCCCTACCTTCTCCAGCTTCTTGGCCTCCTGGGCCAGCATCTTCTCCCGCAACACCTCCTCCTGCTTCTTCCGCTGCTCGTTCTCCTGCTCCGCGTCCTGCCGGCACAACGGGGGCGGGGGGGGGTGTGAACGGCACCGACTGGGTCGGCGCGCCAGACCGCGGCCCGGCTGATGCCAGGTCCATCAGGGCAGGAGGGGAAGAGGTGGAGGGAGGGGTCAGCAGGGAAGGCAGGAATCGCTCAGCCGCAGCCCAGCGGGACAGGCGGGGCGGCAGCCCGGGATGGGCAGGGCGGGGGGGTCTTCGGGATGCCGCAGGGCAGGGCAGCCGCGCTGGGGTCCAGGAGCAGCAGGGGTGGCCGGGGAGGTGCCAAGATCCAAGCTGCCCGAGCGCTCACAGGAAGTGCCGAGACCGCGCCCCTAGCGGCTGGGCAGCCGCTTCCCGTGCGGGACAATGGCAGGAAGGGGCCTGCCGCTGCGGGCTGAACCCAGCCCCAGGACACAGAGCGGGGGGGCCTCCTGCGGCGGGGGGGGCGCCAGCTCTGCAGGAGTTTGACGAAGCGGGACTGTTCTTAATGTTTCCTCTGAATAGTGTGGGGGTGCCTCAGTTTCCCCTAGGCAGTTCTTAAGTCTCTAGGTGGTGGGGATAAGGGTGTATGATCGTTGCAGAGCCCTAGAGGGCAGGTGTGTGCAGGGGTCTGGACACAGAGAAGGGCCGACACCCTGTTTCCTGGCAACTGATGGCCTGGGCCCTTCCCCCCTGCAAGGTGAGAGCTAAAGGGTTGGAGAACAAAGGAATCAGGTGACCTCCTGGCCCGGGAAAGGGACAAAGCCCAGAGGAGGAGGGGCTGGAGGGAGTTTAAGTTTGGGGCTGACTGGGACATGGAGTGAAGGGCAGACGGGGTTGTCTGGCTCACTGCCCCCCAAAATGGACCCAGCTGAGGGGTCCTGTTCTCTGCACCTACAAGCTCTGTGTTAGACCATGTTCCTGTCATCTAATAAACCTTCTGTTTCCCCGGCTGGCTGAGAGTCGCGTCTGACTGCGGAGTTGGGGGGCAGGACCCTCTGGCTTCCCCAGGAACCCCGCCTGGGCGGACTCGCAGTGGGAAGCGCACGGCGGGGCAGAGGAGGCTGAATGCTCCGAGGTCAGACCCAGGAAGGTGGAGCCGGGTGAGCTGTGTGTCCTGCAGACAGGCTGCTCCCAGAGAGGAGACTCCCCCAGAGTCCTGCCTGGCTTCATGGGGAGCAGTTCCCGAGCATCGCCCGGGGACCCCGTGACAGGGGGGCTCCTCTCACCTTGTAGGAGCGGATGAAGCGGACGAAGACGGGGAAGAACACGGAGGGGGGCATCGTCTTGGGGCTCTCGCCAAAGTAGCGCACGACCATGTTGTAGGCGTCCTGCCAAACAGGAGGCAGATGATGCTGGATCGTAGCAAACTCCCCGCGCCCCCCCCCCCGGCCCCTCAGGTGCCTCGCTAGGCAGCCAGATGGCGGGAATTTCAAATGCTGCGGCGTGCAAAATACTACCCGGCCCCATGCGGACAGGCACGCAGTTCCGGTGCACGGCGTGTGTGCACGGCGCACACCCGGCCACACGCTGGAGGTGAGCGCACTGCCGGTGCACGGCGCGTGTGCACGGCGCACACCCGGCCACACGCTGGAGGTGAGCGCACTGCCGGTGCACGGCGCGTGTGCACGGCGCACACCCGGCCACACGCTGGAGGTGAGCGCACTGCCGGTGCACGGCGCGTGTGCACGGCGCACACCCGGCCACACGCTGGACGTGAGCGCACTGCCGGTGCACGGCGCGTGTGCACGGCGCACACCCGGCCACACGCTGGACGTGAGCGCACTGCCGGTGCACGGCGCGTGTGCACGGCGCACACCCGGCCACACGCTGGACGTGAGCGCACTGCCGGTGCACGGCGCGTGTGCACGTGGACGTCGCACTCCGGTCACGGCGCTTACCGCAAACCCGCCACACGCTGGACGTGAGCGCACTGCCGGTGCACGGCCGTGTGCACGGCGCACACCCGGCCACACGCTGGACGTGAGCGCACTGCCGTGCACGGTGCGTGTGCACGGCGCCACCCCGCCACACCTGGACGTGAGCGCACTGCCGGTGCACGGCGCGTTTGCACGGCGCACACCCGGCCACACGCTGGACGTGAGCGCACTGCCGGTGCACGGCGCGTGTGCATGGCGCACACCCGGCCACACGCTGGAAGTGAGCGCACTACCGCTACTTCAGCCTGGGGCCCTCAGCTCGCAGGGTTCTTGTGGGGCCAGAGGAGGCGTCGGAGGGGGAACCCCATGGCTGGGCTGCCCTGCTACAATCCCAGCCCTGCAAGGGAGAGGAGACTGGGACCCTGGCAGGATGCTCGGCCCTGCCACTTTGGGCCAGCCGCCGGCAAGCATGCCGAAGGCTTGGTGCCCCCGCGCCCCGCCCCTCACCTCCGCCGTCCTGGCGTCCTTCTGCAGCTTCTCCAGCCGGCCCTCGCTGGCGCCCAGGAAGTTGCGCAGGACGCTGTTGTCGTGAATGCTGCACTCGCGCCGGATCAGGTCCATGCCGCGCCCCAGCTCCTTCACGTCCAGCAGCACGTTCTCCAGGGACACTGCGGGGAGGCGGGGGTCAGCTGGGGGAACCCCCGACGGTCGAGGCCCAGGCCAAGGGACCATCCCCCCTCTCGGGTACATGCTGCTGACCCGGGCCGGGCGTCCAGCTAACGGGGGCCAGGGTCCGTAGCAGGGTGGGGTGCAGCCCCCCAGGTGGACGAAGGTCCCAGCTCTGACGGGGCCTCAGACAGGGCCGAGGGAAGGGAGCGATTTAGCCCTCGGGAAAGCCACACGTCCCCCTTGATCGGGCCATGGCAGCTGCAGCCGCTGGAGCATTCCCAGGCCCGGTGGGGGCGGCCAGGGCCGGGGCCAGGCCGGCGGGAAGCGGGGCAAGCTGGAGAGAGCCATGGGGGGCTGGCTCCAGGGACGGAGCCCCGGGGCTCCACAGCCATTGTGGGGGGCAGGGGCCGCTGCTGTACCTGCTGCTGCCTTCTCCACGAAGTGCAGCTCCTGCCAGAAGGTGGCCAAGTCCGGGTACTTCTCCCGCACGGTCAGCGCGATGAAGTGCAGCAGCGTCAGCTTCCGGTCTGTCGACTTGGTGTCCAGCAGCTTCGGGGAGGGGAGCAGAGCGAGGGGGGGGTCAGGGCTGCGGCAGGGGGTGCACCAGGGCCTCGTATACGCGCGTGGAAAGTAGCTGCACGAATGGGCACCTTGTGTACAAAGCGTGAGCGCACGAGGGTGCGTGCACAAATCAGCGTGCCCCGGCGTGCGTGCGCGGGCCCGGGTGTGCAAGCGGGTGTGCAAGGCCCAGCAGCCTCGACACACGGGTGGCCCGAAGGCTCCTTACCAGGTCCAGACTCTGCAGCTTGAAGCCGTAGACACAGCCGCGCTTGCAGCTGTTCATATAGTTGCCGAGGGCCAGGACGATCTGCAGAGGGACCCACCGAGCAGGGTCAGAGACACAAAACCAGCCGCCAGCCCCCGCACCCCCGAGTATGAGCCCCGCGTCCCTCCCCACCTCCCAGCCCCGGCGGCCTCCCGCCTCAAGCGTCACAGCTGCAAACAGGAAGCCAGAACTCGGGTTCTCTTCCCAACATGCCAAGTGAGTCGCCCCCTGTGCCTCAGTCTCCCCATCTGTAAAATGGGGCTAAGCCCCCAGCTTCCTCCCCTGCTGCAGTCACCCAGCTGGCCTCCCACCTAGTGCCAGTGGCTCCGAACCCAGCCCACATTCTAGCCCCAGCACCTGCTTGGGGCTCCCACCAGCCATCCCCCCAGACGAGGAGCAGCTGGGGGGCCGGGCAGTGTCAGGCTGCAGAGAGATGCCTAAACCCCCAGGGACCCCCCTCCCCGGCAGCCACGCCTCTGTTTCCTGTTCTACCGGCTGAGCAGCCCTGGGACAGCGCCAGGAACACCCCAGTGCCCCCCGCCGCACAGAGCAGGGCCGGCCACGCACCAGGAAAACCCCCGAGCCCCCCCCCCCCCCCCGCCGCACAGAGCAGGGCCGGCCACGCGCCAGGAAAACCCCCGAGCCCCCCCCCCCCACACACACACACAGAGCAGGGCCGGCCACGCACCAAGAAAACCCCCGAGCCCCCCCCAGAGCAGGGCCGGCCACGCACCAGGAAAACCCCCGAGCCCCCCCCCCGCCGCAAAGAGCAGGGCCGGCCACGTGCCAGGAAAACCCCTGAGCGCCCCCCCCCCACACACACACAGAGCAGGGCCGGCCAGGCGCCAGGAAAGCCCCCAAGCCCCCCCCAGAGCAGGGCCAGCCAGGCGCCAGGAAAACCCCCGAGCCCCCCCCCGCCGCACAGAGCAGGGCCGGCCAGGCGCACACTCACCTCCAGCACGTGCTTCAGCTTCTGAGACGCCTTGACGGAGGCCGAGGCAGCGATGACGGCGTTGAGTTGCTGGTGGCGGCAGGAGAGGGACCAAATCACCAAACGCCGTGTCCCCTACAGCCTAGCCGGCAACGTCCCGTCCCCTGTCCCCCCCCCCACCTGGGGTGCGTCCGTCCGTCCCTCCCCTCCCCTGCCCGGGGTGCGTCCATCCGTCCGCCCCTCCCCTCGCCCCCGCCCGGGGCGAGACAGGACAAGGGGATCAGTGTGGGGGGCGGGGGGGGTGAGATCTGTGCGGAGGGGGCTGGAAGGCCTCAGCCCAGCTCCACCCCCCACCCCAGGTCTTTGGGTCCGGGCTGGGGGGCGGGAGCACTTGCCCTTAGCGGCATCCCAGGGGGCTGGAGCTAGCGGAGGGTTAACCGGCCCCCAGGACCTGGTTGTCACTCAGCTGAAGACGAAGGGGCGTCACCGACGAGCCCAGCCCCTGGCCCTCCCACCCCTCGCCTTGGCGGGGCGAGGCCTCGGGCCCCACGGCCAGGTCCCGGGGCGGGGGCGGGGCGGGGCCCGTACCGGCGTCAGCATCTGCAGGTTCTCGTGGAAGTTGCCCAGGAAGGCCATGATGGCCATGCGCTGCGCCAGGCGCTCCACCTTGCTGAAGTGCAGCATGAACCGGTCCTCGTCCGCCAGCTCGTCCAGCGGCTTGCGCTCCTTCTCGTACTGCCGCAGCAGCTTCACCTCCGCCTCCGTCGGCAGCACCCGCGTCAGGCACTCCACGAAGTCCACCGGCAGCGTCTGCAGGTCAAACCTGCCGGCCCGGCGGGACCGTCACAGCGCGTGGGGGGCCGGCCCCCGCTGGGCCTCAGCCTGGGGCCGCGGCTCCGAGGCCGGCAGGGGAGCTGCCCTCCCAGAGCCGGCTGCGGGCGGCCATTTACCCTCCCAGTACCCGCTGCAACGCGGCCTGCTCGCCCCCGACGCCGGGGGTTCTGCCCCCCGTGTTCCCAGAGGCCAAGCTCCGGCTGGGGGCACAAAGCAAGGGGCTCCCCCCGCCCCGCCCTGCCCCGCCCCACCCCGCCCGGGGGCACCTACGTGTGGATGGCCCTGCAGATCTCCTCGGCGCTGCGGCCCGCCTTGCGCAGCGTGATGGCCAGGTTCTTGGCCCGGTTGGCCTCCAGCAGCGTCACCTTGCTGGCCGCCTTGTGCGAGGCCTTGCTCTTGGCGCAGAGCAGCTCCACGGCAGGGCCCTGAGCTTTGGTTTTGAAGAGCTCCTCAAACTTGTCCAGGTCCAGGTCCTGGCGGGGAGAGGAGAGCGCGTCACCCGGTGCCAGGCCGGGCACCCGAACCGGGAGCAGCACTGCGGTACTGGCCGCGCGAGCTGCCCGCTCGGCTGGGGGACCCCGCCCAGGAGCTCCCTGGGGGTCCCTGCAGAATGGGGGGCAGCACCCCAGCTAGGGACCGCCCGCCACCATCGCCGGGGGCCCCACGGACGGGACCCCCGCTAGGGACCGCCCGCCGCCATCCCCGGGGGCCCCACGGACGGGACCCCCGCTAGGGACCGCCCGCCGCCATCGCCGGGGGCCCCACGGACGGGACCCCCGCTAGGGACCGCCCGCCGCCATCCCCGGGGGCCCCACGGACGGGACCCCCGCTAGGGACCGCCCGCCGCCATCGCCGGGGGCCCCACGGACGGGACCCCCGCTAGGCTTCCTAGGAAGGACAGGAAGAAGGGGGGGACAGACCCCATTAGGAATCCCACATCGCACTGGGAATGAGCCAGCCCCAGCCCCCGCGCACCACTGCCCCCAGGCCGGCAGCTGCCCCCGCGCCGTGAGCTCCGCTCCCCCTCCCAGCGGGACGAGGCCCCCGGACCTGCCCCCACCTGCAGGACCCTCTCGTCGTCCAGCTCGCTGAAGACGGTGCCATTGATCTGGTTGGGTTTCAGCGCCGTCCAGTTAAAGACAGGCAGGCGGAACTTGGTCTTGATGGGCTTCTTTATCCGGATGGCTGGGGACAAGGGGGCAGGGAGGGCGTGAAACCGCCTCGCTCGCAGCGAGCCCCCAGGGAGCCCCCCAGCCTGGGCAGACAGGGCCGGAGAGAGGGGCACGGCCCCGGGCGATGTCCCCAGCCGCCCCATGCAGCCAGCCACAGACCTGGGCTGGAAGGACCTGCCCACAATCGGCAAATCCCAGGACACCGGGGCCCCTTAGCCCCCCGCCCCAAGGGTCAGCGCCCCCGGGCCAAGCCGCTTCTCGCCGAGCTGGGCGCCCGCCGGCTGAACGGGGCAGCGGAGGGGGACCCAGGGTCAGACGCAGGGGGCGCCTCAAGAGCAGGCAGCAGCAGGGGCAGCCCCGGGGGTCCTCGAGGTCCCTCTGCCCCGGGCGGGCACCCCAAGGCCCTCACCGGTTCCGAGGCTGCAAACCCAGCGGCTGGGCGAGGCGGCGGGAATTTGGAGGGAAATTTTCCCGCAACCACAGCCCAGGCCTTGGACATGAGGGGCAGTTCCAGGGAGACCCCCCCCCCCGCCTGCCCCAAGCAGACACCCCCACACACCCTGCGGGGGATTCTCCCCCCCTGTCCCACGGGAGACACCCCCACACACCCTGCGGGGGATTCTCCCCCCCTGTCCCACGGGAGACACCCCCACACACCCTACGGGGGATTCTCCCCCCCCCGCCTGCCCCATGGGAGACACCCCCTGTGACGATGTGACGCAGCAGGGAGGGGGGAGTGTTGACCTGGGAATGTGCCCTGGGGAGGGGAGACCTGAGAGCCTGTCACCTGAGCCAGGAGGGGGGGGGGGTGACACCTCTGCCCGGGAATGTGAACAGAGGCTGCAGGAGGGAGCCTGCTGGGGGGGGTTAGTTTCAGTGTGGGGCTGGGTGGAGGAACGCAGGGAACCCCAGGGCTGGGGTCTAAGCTCCCTGCTCCCCCAGAAGGACTCGACTGAGGGGTCCTGGTTGTACCCACAAGCTCTGTTGTGGACTGTGTTCCTGTTGTCCAATAAACCTTCTGTTTTACTGGCTGGCTGAGAGTCGCGGTGAATCCCAGGAAGAGGGGTGCAGGGCCTGCACTCCCCCACACTCCGTGACACTCCCAAACACCCCATGGGGGATTCTCCCCCCCGGCCCATGAGAGACCCCCTCCCTGCCTGCACCTTGGGAACCCCCCCCCACAGAGGATCCTCCCACCTGCCCCACGGGACACCCCTCCCCCCACTGGCCCCAGGGCCAGCACTCCTCGGGCGCCATGCCCCAACAGGGACGCTTCCTACCTGACAACCCCACGGTGAGGATGACGGAGGACGAGGCCCCAGGCAGTGGGGGCGCAGGGGGGCACTTGTCTGTGGGGAGAGAGGGAGAGTCTGAGGCACTGGCTCCTTGGGGGGACACCTGGCCCCAATCCCCAGGCACGGGCCGAGCTTACCTGGCAGTGGAGGGGCCGGCGGGGGCACAGGGGGCGGGGGAGGCGGGGGCGGGGGGGGCTGCCTCCACAGGAGGCAAGACCGGGAGGCGGAGGTCGTAGTCGGGGATGTCCCCTTCGCCCTCCAGGGGCGGCAGCGGGTCACCCCCCGGCTCCCCGGGCTGGCGGGAGCCACAGTGACGCCGGAAAGCCTCCTCCTTCTCCTTGACGATCCTGCGCAGCGTGTGCACCTGGTGAGTCGCGCTCTCGAAGGTCTCCTGTCCCGGCAGACGGGGGCGGTTAGGGCTGCATCCCCCCCACGAGCCAGATCCCGGCCCCCACGTCCGGAGCGGGCCTGAGCTGCTGGCCCACGGGCTGCACCCAGCGGACGGAGCCCGGGGCCCAGCTCCCAGAGCTCGGCACGTGGCCGGGAACGCGGCCCTCGGCTACGGAAAGGGGCCGCGCCGAGGGATATTCCCGCAGAGCACGCTCAGTAGCAACCAGGCTCCTGCCAGCCCCCCAGGCAGGGAGACCCCCGGCTCCCCAGTCCACAGGTGGACAGGGGCATGCTGGGAACGGGGCAGGGACGGGAGCACCCTCGGCTCATGGCAGACGAAAGGCTCACGGCCCCATTGCTGAGCCGCTCAGCCGGGGGGCAGGCGGGTTCCCTGGCCCGATCCCTGCCCCACACCTTGACCAGCTCCAGCTCTTTCTCTCGCTGCAACAGCTGCTTCTCCAGTTCCGCCACGCGCATCACGTTCTCGTTCTCCAGGTCCAGCAGCTTCTCCGTCAACTGCCGAGAGAGCAGGAGGCCGCTGTCACCGGGGGCCCAGGGCGCCGTACACCCGGCTGCCGGCTCTGCAGCAGGTTTGGACGCAGCCCCCACCCCCAGCACAATCAGAAGCGAGTCCCCCTCGCCCCCTCCCGCCCCACGGCAGGAGAACTCCTGGGAATCTGCCCCCCTGCGCCCGGGACACTCCTGGGGGAAGTCTGATGTTCCCAGACCCCCAGGGAAGAACCTCTGCAGAATCCCCTCAAGGGTGAGGGCCAAGAGCACCTCACAGCCTAGCCCCGACCCCCGGTGCTGGTTCCAGCCAGACCCATCCGCCCAGGCAGTCCACAGATGCGAACGCCGCTCCGGTGGCTCGTGGGAGTCGGAGCCCTCGGTGCAGCCAGCACCCTGCTGGGAGATGGCACGGAGGCCTGGTGGGGTGCAGAGCCCCGGGTGGGGCCGGACCCCGCATGGCCTGGTGGAGACCCAGCCCCTGGTGCAGACGGGCCGAGACGCCTACGTGGGATACGTGCTCCTCCAGCTCCTCCACTTTCTCCAGCGCCACGTTCTTGGTCTCCGCGTCCTCCAGCAGCCCCCCCACGTCGAAGACGTTGTCCAGGTAGGCCTGGATCTGCACCTGCAGCTTCTCGCTCTCCGTGTGCCGCGACTTCTGCAGGGGAGGGGAACCCAGCGTCAGGGCAGCAGAACACCGTCCGCCCACCCTTCCCAGGGGGCACCGGCCCCTCGTAGAGCACCCACTTCTCCCCAGCGGCATGGACCCCTGCCGCAGCTTTCCTCTCGCACCACCCCTGGTGCTGTCGCCCACGCCCATGTCCCAGAGAGGGAAACTGAGGCACGGTGAGGCTGGAGAGGGAGGGCGGCTGCCCTGCATGAGCCTGGGGGGGTCACTTCCCCTCTCTCCGGGCCTAAGGACCCTTCCTCTCCGCATTTGCCTGGAGATTAAACCTCCTGTCCCAGGGCTTAACCCATCCCTGACTACTGGGGGCAGGGGCAGGCCTGGGGCGCAGATCCCCCCCACCTCTGCCTATTGTGCCTTGCTCTAAAGCAGCCGGTGCTGGGCCCCAGACACTGAGCTGCAGCCCCTGAGGCGACCGCGATGCACCTGACGGAGGAGAATCTGGGGTCTCGGTGCTCCCCGGCTCTACCTGCAGGAACTCCTCCAGGCCCAGCTTGGTGAATTCGTACTGCAGGTGCACCCGGAAATTCATGTCCTCCACCGAGTGCACCACGATGTTGATGAACTGCATGCAGGCCACCTGCAAGGGAGAGGGGGAGTCACCGCAGGGAACGCGGGGGCAAGATACCCACACCAGCCGGCCGGCCTTTGGTGGGGGGAGGTCATGGGGTCTGGGATCCAGGCACCAGCCGGCCGGCCTTCGGGGCAGGAGTCATGGGGCCAGGATCCAGGCCTGCCTGACATGGGCAGCTATTCTCCAGTGACTCGGCTGCCAGGCACTTCCTAGAGGCCCCCGGGAGGGCAGCGCTGGCCACGCTCTCCCCAGGTGGGGGCTGGACTGCTCACCATGAAATCGATGCTGCTGTCCTCGTTCCGGAAGTAGTCCATGAGCTTCTCAAAGCGGTGTGTCTCTTTGCAGACCTGCAAGGCGCCCACAGAGGGGTTAATGCCTGGCCCACCCTGATGGCATCCCCGCATGCGCACAGCTCTCCCTAGGCCCTTGTGCCCATCCCCCGGCATCGGGGCATGGTCTGCTCTTCTGTCTGATTAACCCTGGGATCCCTCCGTCCTGCAGCTCCCGGGGCAGCTGCTGTTTGCTGGAACGGGCTGGACAGAGCATCCCTGGGCGCCCCTAGAGATGGGGCTGCCCATCCCCGACAGCCAGGCTGGGTCATCCAGGCCAAGAGCTGGCCCCAGTCTCTGCCCCCACAATGCCCAGCCCAGCCCCTGGAGCTGGTGGGGCGTGTGCGGGGAATGGCGCCCCCCTGTGGCAGGGCCGGGCTCACCTCTTTGAAGTTGTCGAAGGCAGCGAGAATGATTTCGTGGCCTCCCCTCACCAGGCAGACAGCCGCCAGCAGCTCCAGCACCAGGGCCTTGGTCCTAGGGGACGACCAACGGGCTCAGTGACTCACCCACCACGCACAAGCCCTGCCCTGCCAGGGCAGAGCCCAGCCACGATCCTGCTGGCCTGACAGCAGCAGAGTCTGTGCCGGGGACGCCTCTGTCTGCCTGGGCTGACCCTCGGGCTGGGGACGGGGGCTGGGGGACGGTCCCAAAGAGCCCAGGCAGGTGCCAGGTTCCCCGCCACCCTGACCTGGCAGGGGTTGGGGAGTCCAGTGTCTGCCAGCTGCTGTGGGCACCGTCCCCCGGGGCCTGGACTGAGACTCATCGAACTCATTCCACACTCTGGCCACCCAGCTGCTGCTAAGGGCCTGTCGCTACCAGCCGGGGCTGGATTGGAGCCCAGGAGCTTTCGGCTACGGTCTGTAATCCCCGCGCTCTCCCCCGGCCCAGCCCTGCACAGCTCCTCGCTGAGACAGGCCCAGGAAGGGGACCCAGCGGAGACCCAGGGAGGGGACCCCGATCTGCTGCCACTCTGCCTCACCTGGGGTTCTTGTTATGCAGGCTGAGCGCGATCTCATTGACGGCGTGGGGATGGGACATCACCAGGTTGAATCCGTACTGGGGAGGGAGGGAAAAGCAGAGAGCGGGGCGTTAGCAACAGCAGGGTGGCCAGGAACGGGGGTCAGGGGCAGGCAGGGTACACAGCCCCGGCACACAAACACAGCCCCTTTGCTTCCCAGCAGCTCGGGACAGGGTTTCGTCCGGAGCAGCCCGTGGGCTCTCACCAGCCATCCGTGCCCACCCCACTTGCTTGGAGATGTTGATTTTTTTCTCTCCTATAAAATTCCCCGAGTTCACATTTTTTGCACCAGGGGAAACTCAAATCCAGGTGCTACCTGCTTCCCAGTCCCAAATTCAGTAACAGCCAGGCCAGGCAGGAGAGGGTGCTGGAGTCTGGGAGGGCTACGCACCCGCCTGCTTCAGGACCGCAGCGGTGACTGGGGGTCAGGAGGGGAGGTGACCCCATTGCCCCCCTGCAGGGATTCCTGCCCCTCCTCTTGGGGGCAGGTCCAGGGGCTCGACACAGCCCGAGGGCAGGGGCGGTAGCCATTGAGGAGGAAGCACCATGTCCCCCCATCGCCCCCGAGCCTGTGGCAAGCGTCAGGCGCCGGGTACCTGGTAGTTCATGATGGCCCGCAGGCACATGATGCAGACGTGGACGTCGTCCTTCTGGCTCACCAGCCGTGAGTTCTTCAATGCCTTCCTGCTGGGCAAGGTGCTGCAGCTGGCAGAGACAGGGCAGGCTGCGGTCAGCGAGCCCTGGCAGGGGCTGCCTTGCGACCTCCGAGCCGGGCGCCGGGGCTGAAACCCGACCGAGCGTCTCCGAGCCACTGCCCTGCCTCCCCCAGCCCCGGAGCTGCACCTCTGGCCGGCCTCAGCCCTGCACGCTTTGCACGCTCCTTTTGGCCCCAGCTGCGCCAACCCCACTGGTTCTAACCCCCAGCCGGGTGGGGCCCACGCGGCCAGCGAGCCTGAGCCCCACGGGCCACGCCGGGCAGGGAGGAGTCTGTGTCCTTCCGCTCCCTCCCCAGATCCCGGCCACACCCACCCCGCCTTGCTGCCCGGCACGGCAGCCCCTGCTCAGACGCAGTCCCAGAGGAGCCAATCCTACCAGCCCGAGGGGACGGGCGCCTCACCCGTTCTGTCCCACGGCAGCCTCCTGCCGAGACCCAGGGAGCTCACCGTCTGGACAGGGGGCGGAGGGGAAACTGAGCCACAGAGCCGGGAAGGGACCAGCCCAAGTCATGCAGCAGGTCGGTGGCTGGGCTGGGAACAGAACCCAGGTGTCCTGTGTCCCAGGGCAACGTCCTGTCCACTAGGCCACACCCTCGCCTGTCCCGTTCCCCCACCGCTGCCCCACAGGGACGCCCCCTGCCAACAGGCCCCAGTCCCTGAGTGGTACCGGGGCCATCTCCAGGCTCCGGGGGCAGCAGGGCCAAGGGAAGCTCCCGGAGCCCCATCGGAGGCGCCCAGCCCGCGGGGACGATGTGGGGTGCCACACGGAGCAGGCAGGGCAAGGCACACAGAGGGGGAGGGACAGGACAGCAGGAAGGGCACTTGCTGGTCACACGGGTAGTGCAGGGTCCGTGGAGGGGCCGGACACACTGGGGGGCCGCAGGGCAGATTGGGGGGCGGGGGTGAGCACAGAGGTCTGCTGGTGCCAGAGGGGCTGGGAGCAAGGCAGAGACGCGCCGAGCAGGGGGGATCCCGCAAGAAATATGGATGCGGGCGCAGAGCAAGAGAGAGGCAGTTAGGGGGCCGGTAGGTGGAAAAACGAAAGGGGGAGAAGAGAAAGAGACGTGCATGCCCACACGTGCAAACACCCAGATGCACACGCATGCACACATCGACACACGTGAATGAAGACCCAGGATGCACACTCCACTTACACACATCTACACACAAACACACACACACACACACCCATCTGTGCAATGTCCACACCCACGTGCGCGCACCCCCACCCACGTCCACGCAGCTGAGCAGAGCGGAAAGGCACAGAGCATGGGGGCAGCCCAGGGGGGTCGTGTCCTGCAGGCCGTGGGGCCTGGAGCCGGCGGGTACTTACCCAGCGAGAGGTGGGGCAGGCACAGCCAGAGGACAGAGAGAGAGAGCACAGGCCAGAGAGACGGGCAGGCAGAGCGAGAGGGAGACGGGCCCTGGAAGCAGAGAGAGGAGGGTGCGTTACTGACCCCCCGGGGCAGGACACGGGGGCTGGCAGCAGAGAAGGGGACAGGCTGGCCCCGGGGAAGCAAGAAGGGAGCATATGTCTTGGAGGGTGGCGGGGGGGGCACAGATGGTGCGTAGCGTAGAGCAGAGCAGGCAGATGCAGAGTGCGGGGGGAGCATGGACCCGGGGGGGGGGGGGTCACGTGCAATAGGGCAGAGCAGAGGGGGGTGTATCAGGCAGGTGGGTACATTCCATGGGGAGGGGGGTATCATAGTGCAGAGTTGGGGGAGGGGGTGATATACCACAGGGCGCAGAGGGTATGTGTGTAGGTACCATAGGGCGGGGGGGGTACACGTACCAAAGGGCAGAGGTGGGGGTACACACCACAGGGCGGGGGAGGGGCTTATACGTACCATAGGGCAGGGGAGGGGTACATACTGTAGGGTGGGGGAGGGTTACACACCATAGGCTGGGGGAGGGGTGCATACTGTAGGGCAGGGGGGAGGGGCGTATACATACCATAGGGCAGAGGTAGGGGTACATACTGTTGGATGGGGGAGGGTACATACCATAGGGCAGGGGAGGGGTGTGACGAAGCGGGACTGTTCTTAATGTTTCCTCTGAATAGTGTGGGGGTGACTCAGTTTCCCCTGTGCAGTTCTTAAGTCTCTAGGGGGTGGGATAAGGGTGTAGGATCATTGCAGAGCCCTAGAGGGCAGGTGTGTGCAGGGGTCTGGACACAGAGAATGGCCGACACCCTGTTTCCCGGACACTGATGGCCTGGGCCCTTCCCCCCTGCAAGGTGAGAGCTAAAGGGTTGGAGAACAAAGGAATTCGGTGACCTCCTGGCCTGGGACAGGGACAAATCCCAGAGGCGGAGGTGCTGGAGGGGGAGTCAGTTTGAGGCTGGCTGGGGACATGGAGTGAAGGGCAGATGTGGTTGTCTGACTCACTGCCCCCCAAAATGGACCCGGCTGAGGGGTCCTGTTCTCTGCACCTACAAGCTCTGTGTTAGACCATGTTCCTGTTGTCTAATAAACCTTCTGTTTTACTGGCTGGCTGAGAGTCCCGTCTGACTGCGGAGTTGGGGGGCAGGACCCTCTGGCTGCCCCAGGACCCTGCCTGGGCGGACTTGCTGGGGGAAGCGCATGGAGGGGCAGAGGAGGCTGAATGCTCCGAGGTCAGACCCAGGAAGATGGAAGCCGGGTGAGCTGTGTGTCCTGCAGACAGGCTGCTCCCAGAGAGACTTCCCCAGAGTCCTGCCTGAGTTTGTAGGGAGCAGTTCCAGAGCGTCGCCCGGGGACTCCGTGCCAACTGGTGGCAGCAGTGGGATGTACTGCACCGCACAGATAGTGCTTCCTGCAGTAAGTGACTGTGGAGCAGTAAAACGAAGGGGGATTGACGAGGACCAGGCGTGTTGAAGGTTCAGAGAGGAGCGGTTTCGGGGGGCAGTTAACCCCTGGGAGCGTGTGACCAGCGAGAAGGACTGTGCAGTAATGGGGTCCCCCTGGGGACTGCAGTGAGCAGTCTCAGGGGTGGAGGAGCCTGCGGCTTGGTCCTGGGAGAGAGAAGGACTTTTGCAGTAAACAGGGTTCCCCTGGGGATTGCAGCGAGCGGTCCAAGGGGCGGAGGAGTCTACGGCCGACCCTGGCAAAGAGGTGGTGATCTCGAGAAGGGCTGGCACACTAGGGGTTCTCCCTGGAAACCGTGGGGAGCTGAAGGCACACAGGCCTGTAAGTCCACAACAACTTGGGAACAGCGGAGTGATGGCCTGTCACCGTCTCCTTAAGAAGGACATTGTAACCCTGTGCAGAAAGAGAGGGTTGAGCATTGGAAAGTTCACCAAAGCACAGTTCATCCTGCAGCTGGAGGAGGATGACCGCTCTAAGGAACAGATTCCTGACCCCAAATGGGGCTATAGCTGGATCTGGGAGCAGCTGGAGTGGGAGCCAGGCATCCCCAGGACTCCTGTCCCCGACCAGACGAGGGTCTTCACGATCGGGTTCCCCATCCAGGGATCGGAGACGGACGGGATTGGAGCTGAGTCCGAGAGAGTAAAAGGACTGTGGGAGACAGCGAGAGCCCGAGAAAGAGCTGCAGAAGCAGCAGCAGCATGAACTGGCGGTGGTGGGGCGGAGAGGCCTAGGGGACCTCCCCAGGGGTGAGTGGGGATAGACCCCGGGGGCCAGTTCCGCAGGGAACCTTGGGACTAAATTGCTGCCCCTGGTTAAGGAGGGGGGGCATGTGGATGCCACCTCACTGCCTTTGAGCAGGCTGGCTATTTGAACCAGGGGGACCCTGCGGAAAAGCCCAGGTGTCTAGCTCCCTTGCTGGGTCCCAAGGCCACAGACTCCGTCAGCCAGAGGGGTGGGGAGGTGGACAGGCTCCCACTCCTGACCCCAACCTATATGTCTGTGTGGAGTTTCCTGGGGCCAGGCCCCTCAGACCCCCAGTGGGAGCGAAAGGTGACGGTCAATGGGGAGACATTCCTGGGGTGGCGAGATCCTGGGACAGAGAGAACGGTTGTCAGGCCCCGGGTGGTGCAGCCTCAGAGGCTGAAGGGCTATGTGAGCTGGGTGAGGGTCCCAGGGACGAAGCCCCTCGCCCTGCCTATGGCCCAGATCCCTGTGCAGACCAAGGAGGGGTGGGGCTGGCTGGTCATTGGGGTTCTCCAGGATATAAGCTGCAAGACCCTGTTGTGGGGTGACTGTGTCTCTTTGGGACAGGATCCAGGCCCTGCTCCTGTAACGGCCAAGGGTTTGCAAAAAGAAAAGGAGTACTTGTGGCACCTTAGAGACTAACCAATTTATTTGAGCATAAATTGGTTAGTCTCTAAGGTGCCACAAGTCCTCCTTTTCTTTTTGGGAATACAGACTAACACGGCTGTTACTCTGAAACCAGCCAAGGGTTTGAATTTGAATCCAGGGAACCAATCAGCGGAGAGGGAAATGGTCAGTGAAAATGCAGATGACCTGGCTGGCAGTGGGGAGGAGCTGCTAGGCTTGGGCTACCTGCCTGTAACTAGACCCCTGGGGCTGGGTGGGACAAATTGATGCTCCCCGCCCCCTTGCACACCAGAGAGGGGGCTCACTAGCTCTGATGCAGTGAGGAAAGTAGCGAGCTCGCTGCCTACCCCCACTTGGACACAAGGGCAACATTGAGCAAGGGGGGAGACAAGACCCCAGCTGAGTGGGGGGAGACACAGGCAGGGCAGGGGATCTGTTGGGAGTGGCAAGGTGCTTGGTAAGGAAAGTTTGGATGAGCCAAGGCAGTCTTGTGAGCTGATGGCTGTGTCTAGTCAGCAGGGTGGGAAGGCGAGGAGAGTGGAAGATGAGTGTCCCTGGACCTTACCTGTTAGCTGGGTGGAGAACTGGGACAGGGAAGGGAATGTGCCTGCGTCTGTCAGGGATATTGACCTGCCTGTGGAGGGAGCTACCCCGATCTCCAAGCAGTTGTCTGTGACCAGCCTTGTGTGCTGGGACAAGGGGAAAGAGATGCCAAGCTGGGTGTCTGGGAAAGGAGAAAGTGTGTCCGGCTCTTCTTTGTCTGTGGAGCAGACAGAAGGGACCTTTCAGCCTGTGATGGTTGAGGGTCGTGCAGTTGTCTCAGAGTTGGTTCTGGATTCAGCTAAAGCCCAGGAAGGGAAGGGTCCTAAGTTTGTGCCTGCTCGGGAGAATGGCCCTGTAACTAGGTCGCATCCAGTTAGTGTCTATGTAAAATCCCAGAGACCAGACAATTCTGGTGCTTGTATTTTGCCTGTTGCTAGTGTGTTGTTGGGAAAGGGTGTAGCAACTCTGTCTAATCAGGGTGAGATCCTAGCCAGGGCACAAGGAGAGCAGGAAGATGATGTGATTCTGTTACCTACTGACGGTGTGGAAACTTGTAGCAAGAAGGAAAAGATTCCTGAACTTGTGTGTGGTAAAGGGAAGGAGAATGCTTCTGACCTTTTATCTAGGAAGTCTGTAAGTTTGCCTGAAAGGGGATTGTGTAGGGATAGCTCAGTGGTTTGAGCATTGGCCTGCTAAACCCAGGGTTGCGAGTTCAGTCCTTGAGGGGGCCATTTAGGGATCTGGGGCAAAAATTGGGGATTGGTCCTGCTTTGAGCAGGGGGTTGGACTAGGTGACCTCCTGAGGTCCCTTCCAACCTTGATTATTCTATGATTCTATGAATCCGCCGGATGGGCCAGAGGTAATTCTGGATGTAAGAGAGACCCAGAAAGAATCTGTTGTTGCTCAGGAAAGTGTTCCTCTAGAGCAAGCCCTAGGCAAAGAGGGTAAGGGCAGAATTTCTATGAAGGGTGAATTGTTGCATAGAAAAGCCCCTAGGGAAAGGAATCCTCATGGAGTCTTTGCAAGCAGTTTACTGCAACTGAAGGGTGTGAAAGTGATTTAATCAAGACAGGTTTCAGAGTAACAACCCTGTTAGTCTGTATTCGCAAAAAGAAAAGGAGGACTTGTGGCACCTTAGAGACTAACCAATTTATTTGAGCATAAGCTTTCGTGAGCTACAGCTCACTTCATCAGGAAAGCTTATGCTCAGATAAATTGGTTAGTTTCTAAGGTGCCACAAGTCCTCCTTTTCTTTTAATTAAGACAGTTTCAGTTCCTAACAGCCAGAAATTTTCTGCTGTGAATGGATCCACTGACTTTCCTGTTGAAAGATCCAGTGTGGATAGCTTTGAGAAGGTCTCAGATGGAGTGAAAGCTGTTAAGAAAGTTAAACAGTCCTATAACCAAGTGGCTGTGTTTGGCCAGCTTGGTGGGGAGAAGACCCAATCCCAGTTTGACCCCCTGGGGTTTTGGGGGTGGCCAAAGGGCACGGGCCGCATAAACCTTCCCACATGCGGCATGCGAGTGCTATAGACCACCCTTGACCTAAGGGAGGGCGTGAAACTGGAAGGGCGTAAAACTGGAAGGGCCTGGTGTAACTCCCACCAAGGAACAGGAGAGATGCTGGGGCATCCATGGGAACGTTGGTGGGTTCGAACTTCCCCAGGTCACTGGCTAAAGTGACCCCGCTCAGTTCGGTCTCGAAGGGGGGAGAGATGTGACGAAGTGGGACTGTTCTTAATGTTTCCTCTGAATAGTGTGAGGGTGCCTCAGTGTCCCCTAGGCAGTTCTTAAGTTTCTAGGGGGTGGGGTAAGGGTGTATGATCATTGCGGAGCCCTAGAGGGCAGGGGTGTGCAGGGGTCTGGACACAGAGAATGGCCGACACCCTGTTTCCTGGACACTGATGGCCTGGGCCCTTCCCCCCTGCAAGGTGAGAGCTAAAGGGTTGGAGAACAAAGGAATCTGGTGACCTCCTGGCCCGGAAAGGGACAAAGCCCAGAGGAGGAGGGACTGGAGGGGGTGACAGGTTGGGTCTGGCTGGGGACGAGGAGTGAAGGGCAGACGTGGTTGTCTGGCTCACTGCCCCCCAAAATGGACCCGGCTGAGGGGTCCTGTTCTCTGCACCTACAAGCTCTGTGTTAGACCATGTTCCTGTCGTCTAATAAACCTTCTGTTTTACTGGCTGACAGAGTCACGTCTGACTGTGAAGTTGGGGGCAGGACCCTCTGGCTTCCCCAGGACCCTGCCTGGGCGGACTCGCTGTGGGAAGCGCACGGAGGGGCAGAGGATGCTGAATGCTCCGGGGTCAGACCCAGGAAGGTGGAAGCCGGGTGAGCTGTGTGTCCTGCAGACAGGCTGCTCCCCGAGAGGAGACTCCCCCAGAGTCCTGCCTGGCTTCATGGGGAGCAGTTCCAGAGCATCGCCCAGGGACTCCGTGACAAGGGGTACATACCACAGGCAGGGGGAGGGATGCATACCGTAGGGCAGGAGGGAGGGGAGTATACGTACCATAGGGCAGAGGTGGGGGTACATACCGCAGGGAAGGGGAGGGTGCATACCGCAGGGCAGGGGAGGGGCTTTACATGTGCCATAGGGCAGAGGTGGGGGTACATACCGTTGGACGGGGGGAGGGGTACATACCGCAGGGCGGTGGAGGGGTACACACTATAGGCTGGGGAAGGGGTGCATACTGTAGGGCAGGGGGGAGGGGCTTATATGTACCATAGGGCGAGGGAGGGGTGCATACTGCAGGGCAGGGACATACACGTGCTGTAGGGCAGAGGGGGTACACACCGTAGGCTGGGGGAGGGGTGCATACCGTAGGGCAGGGGGGAGGGGCGTACACGTGCCGTAGGGCAGAGGGGGGTACATACCGCATAGGGCGGGGGAGGGTACGTACCGTAGGGCGGACGGGCGCCCAGAGCGGGCGAGGCTGGTGGCGAAGGGGGCAGACAGGGTTATGGGGTGCTGCAGATCCTCGATGGATCTGCTCCAGGATTTCAGCTTTTCTAGCGCGCCGTCCTCACCGCTTTCCAGACCCTCACAATCAAACCTGGGCGGGAGAGGGACACACACGCAGAGGCTTCATGGCAAGCGGCGGAGCAGGGACACCCAGGCCGGCCCGGCTGCCGAAGCTGGGGGTGCGGGAATGGGACTTGCGCACGCTAGCGAGGGCTGCAAGCGCACACTGACGCGTTAGCAGCAGGGCAGACGTAGCAGCTCGAGCGCGCTCCTGCTCGCAGCAAGCGCCTCGGCACCAGGGCAGAAGTTCAGGTCTCCTCCAGGGGCTCCTGGTTTCAAACACCTTCCCCGGAGCAGCCAGCCACCCCCAAGGCTCGCAGCAGGCGGGTCTGTGTCAGGAGCCCGGCAAACATCACGGCCTTGTACGCCCGGTGCAGAGCTTGACACGGAAAGCCCGGCCGTTCGAACGCTCTTCTCCGCCCAGCGAGAGACCAGCTCAGCCACGGCCTGGCACACGTGTGCAGGCAACTTACACCGGCAGGGTTTGCATGTTAAAATGACGGGGGAAATCACACGGCCAGGGCATGGAATGGCCAACAGTGGGAGGCAAGAGGGTCACAAGGACAATGGAGACTCTCCTCACCCCCGTATTAGCAACAAGTGGTGCTGGGTGCAGGACACTTTGGCCCTATTCTGCCTGCCCTTCGCCGCCGGAGCCAGGGCCCGGAGAAGGGAGAGTGGGCGCACCCACTCCCCTGCCTCGAACACACGCACAAGAGGACGTCTGAAAGGGGCAGCAGCAAAAAGATAAAAGGAAATGCTCTTTCACACCTGGCGCCGTTGGACTGTGGAACTCACCGCCACAGGAAGTCGTTAAGGGCAGGAGCGTATCAAGATTCAGTCTCCTGCTTTGGGGCCCTGGCCAATCTCTAACTCTTAGGGTCATGATGACACCTCCATGGGGGGCAGATTAGCCCATTTCTGCCAGCCGCGGGGGTCTCACACCTTCCCCTGAAGCACGTGGGCCAGCTGGCCCTGGGCTCTGAGCCAGTCGGGGAATTGCCACGTTCCCAAGACGAGGGAGAATGGGGGCCAGTGGTCAGGCTAGCTGGGATCACGTGGCCTTTATTTGGGAACACGCTGCACCGTTCAAGAGACCCAGCCTGTGCAGACCGAGCCGGGCGGCACAGGCCGATAGCCGACGGGGTGCCTGCAAACCCGGATCTCACCTGCTCTGCCCAGGGGGGCGAGGAGTCACAGCTGCCCCCACTTACATCACAGCACACTGCGTGGCACTTACATCACGGCACACTGCGCGAAGGAGAGATACTCCACCAAGACGTCCAGGCCTTTGTTCTCGTCATTGAGAAACTCCCGAACCCACCTGCAGAGCGGAGCAGAGAGCGAGTCACCCCAGGGGTCCGCGAGCTGCAGCGGTGCCTAGCGCCCATGCTGGCCTCCTGCCTCGGGACGAATTTCAGCCACGGTCCGGAGCCCCCCACCAGGCGAGAAGTCAGCGGCACCGTGCCAGGCCAGGAGACCCTAGCTGGGAGGAGTCCTGGGCTGGAAAAGGGACAGGTCCTTGGGGCAGGGACCTTGGGGGCCACTGACAACACCCGGCACCGAGTGATCACACCCAACCCACACCCCAGAGCCAGGGGGAATCAACACCGTGACGCTACCGCGTTGCCAGGACAATAGAGGGTCCATTGACGTCAGCGGGTCTGCGTACGCTGTGGAGCGCGGAGAACAGAAATCAGGGTCTCGCGCCCCCTTTTCCTTCCCGCCCGGGGCACGGCGTGACCTGGCCACGCAGGCGCAGCCATCCCCCGGGCCCCGATTCTCCGCGATACCTCGGTGACACGCCACCGACGCCAGCCATCACTCCCCATCTACCCCAGCCAGGGGCCCACACGCTGGCAGGGACCCTACGACTGGATTTAGGCCCCCGCCCGGTGGGATTTTCAGATGCAGCTGCGGGCAGCAGCAGGGGCCGAGGCCCCTGTGAAAAGCCGGCCCTTGGTTAGCTTTGTCCTGGGGCAGTTTCCGCTCACGGGCTGAGAGCCCGGCAGAGCTGAGGAATTCAGGGTTAAGCCGCCCTGGGCCCACCCTGTCACAGGCACCCGCTGCGGCCTGTAGATTGCAGCCCCTCCAGGCACCCCCAGCCGCCTGGCTCTTATCTGGCAGGGCCAGAGCTTGTGGCTCCGCTCTGGGTTGCGCTAGAAAGTGGCTTCCCCACCCCTGCGCCCCCAAAAACGCTCGCAGGCCAATTTCTCCTCCCCTGGCTCAGGGGTTCCTGGGCCAGGAGCTGCATGCTGGGAGCCCTGCCCCGGCGCACACATCCTGGCCGTGCCCGCAATCTGCGCGCGCGTTACCTGACGGGGAGCACGGGCAGGGCTCTTTGGGCAGGGCACGGCCGGCACACGTGTTATTCAGCTGGGGGCACACGCTTGTGCATTGCTGGGGCGGGGCATGTTAGTCGGGTGAATCCACACGTGTTATTCGATCAGGGCACATGCCTGGGTGTTAGTCGGGGGGTGTGCACGTGTGTGTCACTGGGGGGCGTGCAGGCACATGTGATGGGGGTTCACGCACACGTGTGATTGGGAGGTGCACGCACACACGTGATTGGGGGGTGCACGCACACGCGTGATTGGGGGGGTGCGCGCACACGTGTGACATTGGGGGCGGGGAGTGACGTTTTCCAAAGCGTGGTGCTGGGGGCAGTGGGATCTGGCCCAAGTCAGACCCCGGCACTGTCTTGGAGCCATTTCCCCTGTGGGGGAGGGGGCAGGCGAGCCCGCCCATTTCCTGCCTGTCTGCGCTCCAGCGCCCCGCCCCCGGCTCGTTTCCTGTCTGAGGCCACGGCTGCTATTTTAGGGCTCTCAGGGGGCTAAAGGGCACCTGGGCTGGCGCAGACGAACCCAGCCGCTGCTGCAGGCTGGGGAGGGGACCCCACGTGGACCTGAGTGGGCGCATGTCCTGGCAGTAGCACGTGCCAGCTTGTGTGTGTGCGAGCGTGCACACGTGTCTGCGCGCGAAAGGCCATGTGTGTGCACGTTTGTGCACACGTGTGAGCGTGCCGAGGCAGGGAATGTCTGGACCGCCCTTCTGCGTCAAACCTTCCTTCTGCCCCTGGCCTCAGCAGGCCCAGTGCTGGCCCCCGGGCAGGCAGCCTCCTCCGCACCCCCTGGGCCCCTCTCTTCCACCCCCATGGCGGGTCCTGCTCTCCACCTGCTGCCCATGGTGACCCAGGTTCACCTGTGTGGGGGACTCCAGCACCTCTGGTGAACCCAACCCCCTTGCTATATGGATGACACAGGAACTGAGGGGCTCAGAGCAGGGGCCCATCTAGCCTGGTATCCCAGCTCTGGCAGTGGCCAGCACCCGCTGCTTCCAAGGAAGGGGCAAGAAATACTGCAGCAGGGAGTCCTAGGGAGCGGAGAGACTGGACAACGTACGAATTGCCGTCTCGTGGAAGGGCTGTGTGGAATCCAGCGGGGTTTCCATGGCTGATGGCATGAACCCTCCAGAGCTGACCACACAGGAGATCCAGGTTTCTCCAACCCCTCAACAGAAACTCCCCAAAGCAGAACAAAAACCCCAGGGTGCGGATGCCTTTAAAAGCCTGAGGCTGCATGGCTCAGGGGAGACTCACAGGGCCACAGAGGAAGAGATGGGGACACTGGGAGGGGGCTGGAGGGGGTTTAGCTGCAGAAGGACCAGCCTACGTCAAAGCGAGCTGACCTGGAGAAAGAGGCTCCATGGTTAAGAGAACAAGCCATCGCTGCTGCAGCAGCAGGACCCTGGCTGCCCCCAGAGGGCTATGACCCCAGATCAAAGAAGGCTCCGGAGCGCTGGGGAAACTGAGGCAGGGAACTGCAGGCAGGATTTATTATTTTTGTTTCGATTTTTGTATTTCTCTTGCTGTTCAGTAATGAGCAATGGTGTCAGGATCGTGCGTGTTCTGTGTTATACCTCCCACGTGCCCTTGTAGCGTTAACTGTGGGCCCAGAGCACCGTGTGAAGGAGTGCTGGGAGAGGGTGTGTTCAAGCTGTGAGGGGGATGGGGCAGTTGGACTGCGGGGTCTGAGCTCTCTGGAGAGGGTGCTCGACAGAGGCCACGTGCCTTGGGACCCCGAGCCAGGGGCAGGGCCTAGGCTCAGTCTAGACTCCTGAGGCTTAAAGCCCATGGCCCAGCGCTTGGGGGTGGCCGGGGGGCTCAGCTGGACCTGGGACAGGGTGTTCAGAGGGATCCATGGCCTCACCCCCACGCTGACTGTCCCACCAGCACCCTGTGGCCCCTGTTTCCTGTCTCCCCCCACCCCGCCCAGCCAGGGAGCTGCTGACTCTGTGGCCCTCCCTCCCCAGTGCAGGATGTCAGCTCCGGCCTGAGCATCCGCTGGAAGGAGCGCCTGGCTGCGGCGAACCCGCAGGCCTGGCCAAGGACAGGAACAATCCCAGTTCCTGTGCCAGCTGGTATTTCCCCTCCAGCTGCAGCTGGACCCGCACGGGTGGGGACGCGCCGTCCGCTGTGCAGACACGGCCCGGGGAACGCTCTGCATGGCCACAGCAGCGGGGGCAGCGTCAGACGGGGCGCGGTCGGGGAGGGGGGGAAGACGCCTGACGGCAGCGTTGTACCCCGGCCCGCCCAGGCCCAAGGGAAGCGAGGCCGCAGGGCCGGACGAGCCTGCGGGGTCACTGCCTGCACCCCTCCCTGCGGCACGTACATCAATGTGTTGGCCAAACCGAGCCTCAAAGAGCCAGGGGACAGGCTTATGACTATGGGGTCAGAGCACAGTGCTGGGAGCCCTGGGTTCGAATCCCAGCTCTGCCATGGGCCGGCTGAAGGACCTTGGGCCAGTCTATTCCTCTCCCTGGGCCTGTTTCCCCATTCATCCTGACACTGAAAGCTTTTGGGAGCAGGGTCTGTCTCTTGCTGAGTGTGTGCACAGCACCAGGCAGCATGGGACCCTGACCTCTAATCCCACCAGCCCCGCTCCTCTTTGGGAGCTGGTTCTGGTCCCACAGACACGATGAGCCCGGATCTGTCCCAGGGCTCCCTGTGCTTCCCTGCACTCACCCCAGCCCTGGCACGAGCCAGCAAACCCCCTCGCCATTGGCACACCAGGGCTGGGGAGCATCTGGCTTGGGCAGCCAGGCTCCATATTTATTCCTGTTCTTTGCTTCAGCCTCTGGTTGCCCCCCGCAGCCCCTTCCCTTCCTTTCCTTTCACTCTTACTCTGTGCCGCATTCCCACCAGTGTATCCTACTTAACCCACCAGGATCCACAGCGCCCTCCTCGTCCCCTGTAACCACCCTCATCGAGTGCTTTTCACCCGGGAGATCGGAGCCATTGGCACAGGAAAGAGAAATAGAATTCTGCCCATTTTACAGAGGGGGGAACTGAGGCCCAGAGCAGGACAGTGACCTATCCCTAACCATTACCCAAACCCTACCCTAGCCAGCCAGTGGCAGACACAGCAACCGACCCCAGGTCCCCTGGCTCCCAGCCCGGTGCTCTACGCCTCACGCCAGGCTGGCGCTAGTCCCGCCCCCCCTGCATCTGCCAACGAGCGCAGCAAATGGTTGCCCTCCCTCCGAGGGAAACCGACAGCACCGGCTTCCAGCACCAGGAGAAACGCTTATTGATTTGCTGAGCGGTTTGCCCCAGAGCTGCGTAGCAGCAGGTGGGCGTGGGGGACTGGGTTCTCGAGCCAGGCCTTGTCTACACGAGACGCAAGGCCCTGCAGATACACCCTGGGTTGGGAGCAACGCTCGAGCTTCCAAGCACAGATGGCAGCAGCTGGTCTCTACAGCCAAGAAGCCTCACCGCAGACGGGGCTTGGGCACAGTCAGGGCCACCTGCGGGGAGACAAAAGGGGCGGTTGGCCCCAGGCCCCCCATTTGAGAGGGCCCCCAAACTGAGTGGCATAGCAGGCGGGAGGGGCGGGTGGGCAGCGCTGCCATCCCGTACGCCAGGGATCACATCTCGCCTGGCAGAGCGTGGGGCTGCCAGGCCAGAGAATCCCCCAGCAGGCCGCCTGGGGCATCCTGGCCATGGAGAAAAGGGTCTTGGCCGCTATGGAACGATGCTGGAGCTGTAACGAGGGGAGAGCCAGCCATGCAGAGCTTGAATCCGGAGCGTGAGGGACTTGGATGGAGCACGGAGCAGAGCCAAGCCTACTGCTCTGCTGGCTCCAGCTCCAGTCCCAGCCTGAGCCCGGCTGCTCGGTGGCACCTACCCGATGTGGTTGGTCCTCAAGGAGATCTCCAGCTCCCGCAACACTTTGGTCGATTCCTGCACCCTCCGTCTGAACTTCTGACAACAGAGTCCCCCTGTTAGGAACAGCAACCAGCTCCGGGCCCCGAGCCCAGCTCTCCCTCCGCCCCTGGCAGAAGCCACCTCCCCGCCTTGACCAGACCCATCGGCAACAGAGCCAGCACCGTGGGCTCTCTGGGGCTGGCATGGCCTGTTCTGCATTTGCAATACAGCCTGCGACGAATAGCTAGAGATCAGGCAGCTCCGTTTTACCAGGGGGGCCCAGTTAGTTACGTGGGGATAGATTCTCCAGACTGTCCGGGCCAGATTTGCAGGGATTTACCACCCACAGACAGGGTCACATCCCCACCCCACCCAGCAGCCCCCACGGCAGGACTGGTGGAGGGGATGGGATGATGAGACTGCCAACAGCGGCACAGAGCCGATCTGTGACTGCTCGCAGCAACATCCCCAACGGCCAGTGACAGGACTCTAGCTGGGGCGGGCCCCAAGTCCGACAGAGAATTCTCTCCCAGGGGTCTGGCTGGTGGGTTTTGCCCACCTGCTTGGGGACTAACTAATCACCAGATTTGGGGCTGTGAAGTAATTTTCCTTGTGTCAGATTGGCAGAGACCCTGAGGGTTTTTCGCCTTCCTCGGCTACGTGGGGCACAGGGCACTTGCAGGTTTAGACTAGTGTAACTGGTGGATTCTCTGTAACATGAAGTCTCTTAACTCAGCCAGAGGTTCTGGGTCTATTACAGGAACGGCTGGGTGAGGTGCTGTGGCCTGCGACATGTTGGAGCTCAGACTAGCTGATCACGATGCTCCCTTCTGGCCTCAGAGGCTACGAGATTTTTCCAAAGCACTCAGTGCCCAAGGTTTGACAAGCTGGCCCCCTTTTTTGATCCCTAAATGCCACATCGTCAACCCCAAGTGTCCGAGGGTCACAAGCCTGCCCCAATAATCATGTGACCAGCTTATCAATGTTAAGGTGTCTTTTAAAAACAACAAACCCCAGAGTTTTTCCTGTGATTTGCCTTTTGGTTCGTGTGTCTGAGCTTCTCTCTGCAACCCCAGCAGCTAGAAACTTCCTGTGTTTTAAATGAAAGCTGAGATTCCCCCAACTTCACAGGACCCCAGGAGCTGGAGCTTTGGGAAATCCAGGAGAGGCAGCAACACTCTCACTGGAAACTGAGCTCCTTGGAGATTCAGGACACAGGGTGGCATGAGCCAAAGATCTAATTCAGGACTCCCGGAGCGTCCCATCTCTCCATGTAATCGCAAGGTTTGGGTGGCTATTTCTGTAGCCACAGACGGTTTGTTCTGGAGGAGGCGCTGCCCAGGGCGGGGGTCGCTCCGTGCTTGCCAGGCGCCCAGGGCGAGTCCAACGAGCACAGCTGCGGTCAGAGCTCAGCGTCGGCGCGACGTGCCCATGATGCCACAACAAGCTCGCACTCAGCCTGCGCTGATGGGAAACCCTGGAGCTCTGAGAAACACCCCATGTGGCTGCTGAGCCAGAGCTGGGAGCCGGGACCCCAGAGCAGGCATCTCTTGCACAAGTGCTTCAGCACCCGCAAAGCATCCCTGGGTTTGGATTTGTAACAGGAGAGTCTCTATGGCCACAGCTCACGGCCGCCGTGCGAGCCCCGCAGCTCACGGCCACCGTGCGAGCCCTTACCTTCCTAGTCACGCCGGGGTCCAGGAAGGTCTGCAGTTTCTGGATGTAGGTATGGGGAGGGTTCTTCACCTGGAACCTCTCCTGGAGGGGAGGAAAGAGCCTGACTGCGGGTGTCAGAATGGAGAGGGAGTCGCGGGCATCACCGGTGGGGACGGAGCAAACACTGCAAGGGGTGCGTGGGACTCTGACTCGCTGCTCCCATTAACCTCCCCCCGGAGAACCCCGACGGCTTCTGTGGCCAGCCCTGAGCACAGAGCGACTCCTGCGTCCGTGCGGACCCAGCCCCAGCGCTGTTCCCGGCCTTTCCCCTGCCCCCGGCCGGGCAGCCCCCACTGCTGCTGTCCCAGGTAAGCCCCCTGCCCCCAGCCTTCCGCCCACGCAGACCCCAGAGCTGGGGTTATGGCCCCGCTCCCGCCCCGGGCCCCGGCACCTGGTCGCAGATCAGGTCCCATTTCTTCTCATTGTCGTACTGGCGCAGGAGACGGGCTTTGTCAGGCGGGAGGTTCATGGAGCTCTGCGGAGAGGAGAGAGGAGAGGCGACCTGGGGGGCTGCTGGTGGCTGGATCTGAGCCACGCGCTCCCGCCCCGTCGGCGGGACAGGCACGAGCCACATGCCCCGGCGCGGACGGCTAGGGCTGGCCCGTTCACTCCCGCAGGCCTGAGCGGGGACCGAGGCAGCCCCAGACACACTGCCGACTGGGAGGGGTTAGAGGCAACGCGCGCTGGGCTGGTGCCAATGCCCCCCAAGCCCCCGGCCCGCCCCGGGCTGGCTCCTGCAAAGCCCATCTGGAAGGCACTTAAATGAAGCAGGGCCGGGTTGAGCACCTGGCCCGTCTGGAGACGGGGGGCACCATGCCACTGCTGATCCAGAAGGCCGGAGGTCTTGATCCCCTGGGGCCACTGAAGGTCCCGGGCTGCTAAGTTGTGCTGCCGGCACAGATATCCGGGTCCTGCTCCGGTACCCTCAGACGGGACCACATCCTCAGTGGGTGCAAATGAGCTCCGGGCCCCTGAGACGCTTGTGGGACTTCACCCATATCCTCCAGCAGAGGATCTGGCCCCGTCCCCTTCTCCTCCCGTCACGCACCCCACATCTTCGGGGCAGAGCCGGGGCGAGAGCCCTGCCCCCTAGCGTGGCCTGCTCTCTCTGGCTCTGGGGGGGAACGGGGGGACGTAGGTTCCCTTCCTCCCACCCCCGCGAGGTCTCATCCATTGTGGTCAGGGAGCAGAGGGGAAGCAGGTCAGGGCCCGGCTCCTCGCACTGGGCGAGGGTTTTAACCTAGTGGGGGGGACAGCTCGGATTGCACAGCTGAGCTAAGACATGACTCAGCACACGCAGCTCCTCCGCGCCGGCGAGATGGGAGCACGACCCCACCAGGACCCGCCGACCCTCACGCTGCCCCTTGTGCCGCCCACGCCTGCCGCGGGGGTTCAGTGTCCTGCCCCCCTGCACACCGAGCTGCTCCAGTGGTGAGCAGAGGGCCGACTACCTGCCAGATCCCGCGGCCCAGAGCCTCTGGCTGCATCCCGGCCTCTTGGAAATTCAAGGCGGCTCCGGCCGCACAACGATCCTCTCGTTCCGGGGCGAGGCGCTCTGGCCTCGGTGTCTCCCAGCCACAGCGCTGGCAAGGCCACGAGGCCCACGGCATCCCTGGGCCACGCCCGACCGCCGTCCAACGGCTGTACCCTCAGAGGAGCCCGGCCTCCCCGGCGCCAGACAGCTTTACTCCTGGCTGTGACCTCAGGCCCTTCCCATCCTGCATCGGCCTTGCCTGCTGAGATGGTAGGCGGCCCGGGGCAGAGACTGGTTCTCGTGCTGCACCCGGGCAACGCCTGGCTCCTGGGCACGAGCCACATGCCCTGATCTCAGCTGGGCATCCCAGCACTGCTGGAACGGTTCATTTCAACATGAGCGACGCTCCTCTCCCACCTCTCCAGCCCCTTGCCCACGCCCCAGAGGTGGGGCTGGCACCAGGGCTGGGCATGCGTGGGAGTCCAGGTACATCGACACCCGAATCGTCAGTGGCGTCTTCACGCGTTGCTCACTGTCACAGCTGTGAGCACTAGTGCAAGCAGGGCACCTGCATTTGCTGCCGGGGTGTTCACACGCAAACACTCCTGCCCACGTGCCATTAGTCCCCCCAGGCTCTCCCCATTCGCTAGGCACAGGCCTGGCACTGGCTGCCTGCACGCTGGAGCAGCTTCTGCTGGGAGCGCTCGGAGCTGAGCAGACACGTTCCATGTTGGTCCTCCTTCCTGTGACTGCTGTTGCACGAAATCTCGCCGTATCACAGACGCATTGCGTCCGGTCTACACCAGCTTCCTCTCTGCGCTAACCACAGCCTGGCTCCCGCCGGAGCGCCGCTCTCAGCCACTTCCTGCGATGCTCTGCGCTGGAAGAGATGAGCCAAGCGGTGCGGGCACAGGAGGGGAGCCGGGGCTCCCACCACTTCCCAGCTCCAGCGAGGACTGCCAGCCGGCGGTACTGGGCTGCTCCACCCCTGCTCGCTCGCCCAGCACAGCAGACGGGGAGGTTTCAGCCCCTGAACTAGGCCCAGCAGCCTGGGAGGGCAAAGGCCCCAGGACCCAGCACTGGCCCCACCAGCGTCTGCCCTGGCCAGGTGCTTGGCACCCCACGCCGCGCTCAGCCTGACACCTGGCCATTGCTTGGGGGGACCTGGCTGGGAGCGCTCGGACAGTCAGTCCACAGCGTGTCTGGGACACGGCTGTTTGCCTGGCTGCCCTTCATCCTCAGCTCCCTCTGCCTTCTGTCCCTTCGAGGCAGGAGACCCCAAGCCCCAGTCCCACGCAGGCCTGGAGGGCATGATGCTGGACGACAAGTGTCAGCGTCTAACCGAGGTCCTGGAAACCCTCCTTTGGGGGGGGGCGGGAGGCGGGATGCCGGGAGCATTCAGGTCTCTTCCCTTCTTCATCCCCTTTACCTGGGCACCTGTTTCTTCCGATCCGCCAGGTGGTGACGGACCAATGCCTCAGGGCCTGGAACCCGCAGGACAGGGGCGAGGGGCAGCAGCTGTGTCCTGGAAGCAGTGGGGTCAATGCTGGCTCTGGGGCCAAGCAGCTCTGTGGGTTTCCTATGGAGGGTCCCGATTTGGCCCCCTCTTGATCCAAGCCTGCAGGAAATGCCACCCCAAGGCCCTGCAATACGGAGTGTCATCGTGAGGCCTTTGGGGCCAGATCCTCCCCCCGGGCAGCGGGCCAGCCCCAGCCCTAGGAGGCAGTCGCTGGTGCCCCTTGTTCACGGCTGCCCTGGCCCGGCGCCACGCCCTCTGCACAGTGGAGAGAGAATTCTGCCTCCCCTCTGCTTTGTCCTCCCTCCGCGCCCTGGGTGTCTGGCTCGTTGCTGTGGCCTTAGAGCGGGCAGGGGGCCCAGGGGCCAGATTCTCTCTCCCTTCCACCGCCAGACACCCGGGAACCCAGAGGGGATTGGGCGCTGTCTCTCTAGGAACCGCGCTGAACGGCCACAGCGCTACGTAAAGGCCACCAGCCACCTTCCCGGCTGGCAGAAGACACTGCTGGGTCACTTCAGGCCACTGAAGAGCTGGTGCCGCTAGGGTTCAGATCAGGTCATCTTCCCAGCCCATCGACCCAGATACCACAGTGATGGCAGGGGGGTGAGAACCAGAACAGCACAGATCAGAACTCCACACCCCATCTTGGCCACAAAGCCCATCTGTGACAGTCCCTGAGACGGTCCAGATCCCTCCTATGAGCGACAGGCGTGACTCAATTTCCCCCCACTGACTGGGTCAGTTTCTCTCACTCCAGGGGTTTGACGGGAATTGTTTATCAGCCAGCCCCCACCTCTGCCAGGAAAGCTGCGTGGGACAGCCTCACACCATTCCCATCAGGGCCTTTGCCATGTCACGGCTGGTCTTCCTCCTCGTAACTCCCACCTGCGAGCGCTGGCCGCCCCGCGTGCCAGGCAATGCCAGGGCTCCATGCTCGCGCTCCGGCCGTACCCACGCCAAGGCTGAGCCAGGAGATTGCAGTGCCACATGGCAGGATTAAAAGAGGCAAAGAACAATGAACCCTCCTGCATCCCAGCATGAGCCACCCAGGCTGGGAACAGCTGCTGGTCGCCCCCTGAAATGCTCCCATCTGGGTTTCCTGCACCTGCCGCTGAGGTGGCTGGTGCTGGCGACCATCCCAGCCAGGAGCCCGGACCAGGCTGGATCCAGAGCTCCCCTGCCTAGCCTGTTCCGTCCCCGCCCGCCCGCATGACCAGCACAGAGGGACAGGACCAAGATCACACAAGGAGTCTGCGGCAGACCCAGCCTCCCAACTCCCAATCCACCGTTTTAACCCCTGGGCCATGTTCCCTCCCACCCTGTCCGGACAGCCGGGGGCGCAGGGCTTGGACGCAGGCCAGGGGAGTTTTGCCGCTGATTTCCACAGCTGCAAGATCACACCCCGAGCGCCCCGTGGACAGAGAAACATGAAAGGGAGGAGGAGAGTGAGGCAGGCTCCTTCCTCCGGCCCCCCTCCAGGGCTTCTGCCCTTTTCACTGCCAGACAGCGGCTGCCCTGGGGGAGTTTTCCACACCGCCCCCCTGCATCGCCGCGTCACAGAAAAAAGAGGCAGCGCGGGGCGGAGGGGAAGCAGAAACCCAACTGAAAAATAACAGAGCTCATCTTGGCTTGTGTTCAGCTGCAGAGAGACAGCGTGCCGGCGGTGGAGACAGAACCCGCCTTGTGCAAAACTCCGCTGTCTGAGAGGTGAAAAGGGAACTTTAAAAACATCAGCTGACCCCCCCCCCGGGGGCCTGGTTTGGGGGGGGCTTTATTTCTAGCCCAGAGGACGAAAGGTGGTTTTCCCAACCCCAGAGCTCACTCATGACTCATGGGTCGTCCCTTAACACAAAGGCACATTCCCTCCCCTCATCCGTGCCCCTGCCCGCAGCCTTGCTCAGCCCAGAGGAGGAGCTGGGGGAGGCTGGGCGGCCGCAGGGGGGCATGGGGGAGGACACATGGCCAGATGAAACGGGACATTGTTCTGGCTCAAACAGCTCCCCCAAGCTCCCTTGCAAAGCAGCCAGAACTGGCTGTTTTCAGGGTGTCCCGGGAGAGAGGCCCCCCCACCCCCACGGCAGCATGATGCTGTCTCTGGGCCCGATCCTGCCCGGCCCCAAACGTTGCCCCAGGAGACGCTGAGCGGCATTCAGGGTCACAGCCCAAGTGACAGGAGCTGATGACTGGGAGCAGAGGCAGCATGACCCCACTAAGCCCAGCCCTCCCACCCCCACAGATTCTCGCCGGTCAGAGCAGCGGAGGGGGGCAAAGCTCAGCTGGACATGTGCCCGATGGGGCCTGACTCTCGTGATGGCCCCACTGCTCCTGGGCTGCGTGGGGTGTTCCTGAAAGCCCCAGCTCCAGGAGTCAGGTGATGGAGTCAGGAGTCAGTCCCCATTGAAGCCACGCTGTGAACTAAAACCAGTGGTTTGACTCAGATATTGCTTTGAGAGGGTGCTCTCCGGAGCTCCCCGAGTGTTTAGAA